AATACCAAATGATCTCACGAATAGGTGGAATTTTGAAAAATAAAAAAAACCAAGCTCAGAAATAGAGAAAGCACATTAGGGATCTAGTGGGTAGGGAATAGTTGAAGAAAGTCGAAAGGTACAAACTCTGAGTTATAAAGTAAGTCATAGAGATATAATATATGCCATGGTCTGTAGTTAAGAATATTCTATGGTATATTTTAGAGTTGTTAAAGTAAATCTTAAACGTTCTCATCACAAACAATTTTGTAATTATGTATGGTGCAGAGATTAGCTAGAATTATTTGAATCATTTTGCAATATATCCAAATATTAAATCATTGTTATATCCCTGAAACCAATATAATATTGTATGCCAATTGTAACTTGATCAAAAAAAGAAGTAACTGGCAAGATAAATTTCTAAATTGCCATTTAAAAATTTCAAATTATCTTCTGTACAGCTCTAATAGTACACAGTCACTTATTCAGAAAATATTTACCTTATTCCCACCATGTGCTTGACATTGTGTAAGGTTATAAAGATGGAGAAGGCATGGCCTTGAAGTGTCCCCAACTTCAAGTAACTCTTAGTCTTGTGGAAGATGGATATATAAGCTAACTTGTATAAGACTTCACGATCAGTGCTGTGGCAGAGCTACATAGACTATAATGAAAGCATGGTTGCCAGGCACTAAATTCATGAGATTCTTCCCTTTTTTAGGGCATAATAAAGAAATGAAAGGTTTCTCTTTATTTCCCTTGGCTGCATATATTAAAAATGGCCCCTCCGCCCTCAGCTACATCTCATGTCAACCACTGTGATATTGCTGTCTGAGCCATTCTATGCTCTGACCACAGAGTAAGCAAACAGATGAAGTCTCATTTTTGTGAGGAGTTTTCGACTTCCAGAGCTGGCAGTGCTATTATGGAGATAAAAATGTGAGAAAATGGAAGAGGAAATGTATTTTCAGTAGGTCTTTGGTAAGGACAGCCATAGGTTATGTCAAGAGATAAAATGGAATGTGTAATTAAGGCAAATATATGTGCAAGGGCTTATTTCTAGGTTTTCTATTCTATTCTACTGATCTAGGTGGCTGTTTTTCTATCAATACTATATAGCTTTAATTACTATAGCTTTGTAATCTATATTGAAATCAGGGAGCATGATGCCTTCAGCTTTGTTTTTCTTTGCCAAGATTTTTTTGGCTATTTGGAGTCATTTGTGGCCTCATATCAAAATTAAGAAGAAGGTATAGAGATTTCCACATACCTTCTGCCCCTAGAGACGTATAGCCTCCCCTATTATCAACTTCACTTATCAGAGTGGTACGTTTGTTATAATTGATAAACCTACATTGACAAATTATAGATACCCAAAGTCCATGGTTTATATTAGAAATCATGGTGTTGTACATTCTATGGGCTTGAATGACATGTATCTACCATTATAGTATGATAAAGAGTATTTTCAGTGCCCTAGAAATCCTCTGTGCTCTGCTTATTCATCCCTGCACACCCCCAACCCCTGGTAACCAATGATCTTCTTATTGTTCTGCTTTCTTCAGAATATCTTATAGTTCAAATCATGTAATATGTAGCCTTTTTAGGTTGGCTTCTTTCACTTGGTAACATGTATTTTCATGGCTTTTTAGCTCCTATATTTTAGTATTGAATAATCTTCCATTATCTGGATGTACCACCGTTAATGCATCCACTCACCTACTGAAGCCCCTCTTGACTGCTTTTAAGTTTTAGAAATTATGAATAAAGTCTCTATTAATATCCCTATGCAATTTCTTGTGTAGACTTAAGTTTTTAACTCCTTGCGTAAATACCAAGGACTATGACTCCTGGATCATATGATAAGAGTATGTTTAGTTTTGAAAGAAAAAGCCAGACTGTCTTCCCAAGTGAGTGTTTGAACCATTTTGCATTCCCACCAGCAGTGAATGAATTCCTGTTGCTCTTTATCTTCATTAGCATTTGATGTTGACTGTGTTCCAGATTTGGCCATATAATGGTATCTCAGTGTTTTAATCTGCATTTCCCTGATGACCTATATATGTCTTTTGATGTGCCTATTTGCCCTCTGATTATCTCCTGTGGTGAGTTATCTCTTAAGGTTTTTGTCTATATGTTAATCAGGTTGTTTGCTTTCTTATCATTTAGTTGTCAGTGTTCTCTGTGTGTTTTGATTAACAGTCCTTTATCAGATGTGCCTTTTGTAAATATTTTCTATCAATCTGTGACTTGTCTTCATTCCTCCATTTTTAAAGGCCAGATAGTTTTGTAGAAAATGGGGCACTGCAAGAAGTCTTAAGTGGTATTTCTGTAGACAGCATTTCTTTGTTGCTGTAGGGAAGAAAGTAGAAGGTCATGTGCTGATTCCTATCTCAATGTAGCTTGAAAGAAAATGCAAATTAACATGAAAAGTAGAGAGCAATGATAGTCTTTCATTTTACGTCAAATGCCATATTATATTAAGAGTTCACAGTGTAGAGAAACATTGAAGTAGACTGGGATAGAAGAGGGAATCTTTGTGGAAATTGAATTTACTGGGATTGGCCTTGAAATCTAGTTCTATCTTCAGTAGTGGCAGAGGCAGAAAAAGATATTCCAGCTGAGAAACCAGATTCAGGGTTATAAAAATTTCAGTTTATACTGTAGAGGGAAAATTTGATTATGCTTGAGATTTAGATTCTGAATATTCTCAGATCTGTAAGACTGGATTTTCTTTACCTAGAGGGACTAGAGGTGTAAATCCTACATCATTCCAAATGGTTCTAGTTACAGCAGACGGCTGGGTTGTGTGTCTCACATGTCATGTAGAAAGAATATATTAGCCCACCATATTTGCATTCAGATAAGTGTATTATAACACTTTTAAAATGTTGCACATTCTCATTTAAAAATATATATATGCTGGGGCACCTGGGTGGCTTAGTCGGTTAAGCATCCGACTTTCGCTTAGGTCATGATCTCGTGGTTCGTGGGTTCGAGCCCCGCGTCGGGCTCTGTGCTGACTGCCAGCTCGGAGCCTGGAGCCTGTTTCGGAGTCTGTGACTCCCTCTCTCTCTGACCCTTCCCTGCTCACGCTGTCTCTCTCTCTCTCTCTCTCTCTCTCCTAGAAATAAATAAAANGCTCTGTGCTGACTGCCAGCTCAGAGCCTGGAGCCTATTTCAGAGTCTGTATCTCCCTCTCTCTCTGACTCTCCCCTGCTCATGCTGTCTCTCTCTCTCTCTCTCTCTCCTAGAAATAAATAAAAAATATTAAAATATATATATATGCGCTGTATTTTTCAAACCTATGGAATATTTGCCTTATATTTTATTAGGTAAATCTACCTTGTTAACAATTTAAAATAATATTATAATATTACAATGATATATTGTCAAATATACTGGTTTTTACATTTTAACTTTATTTTTTAATGTTTTATTTATTTTTGAGAGAGAGAGACCGTGCAGGCAGGAGAGAGGCAGAGGGTGAGGGAGACACAGAATCCAAAGCAGGCTCCAGGCTCCAAGCTGTCAGCACAGAGCCCGACATGGGGCTCAAACCCACGAACCATGAGATCATGACCTGAACCAAAGTTAGACGGTTAACTGACTAAGCCACCCAGGCGCCCCAGTTTTAGCTTTATTTTTAATATCAGTGAACTATTCTAGTTTTATTATTCTTCCTCTAAAAGAGCAGTAATAACAGTATGATCCTTAAAACATACTTACACATGTTATCATTGCACACAGGCATTTTTGAACACTGCTGATTTAACATTTTCCATTGTAAAGTTCTTTCGTAAGCATTTTATTTTGTTGATTGGAAGATGCTGCTGCTGTTTACAGAGATAGTATCTATTAGCTAAAACCACCTATGTGTCTACGTTATAGGTGAAATTTGGGTTGTTAATCTGGCCTGATAATAGTTGATTTCTGTACCACATAAGACTAAATCGCAAAGGACTAAAAACTCAGATTTAGGCAAAGAAAAAAACTAAAGGAAGGGCCAGTGTGGAAGATGTACAGTATCACACAGCTGAAGGTCTCATGGGTTAATTTCGGGCACAAGTTGAATCTAGAATCTCAGATTATGTTATTAAGACTCTGTTCTGTTTAACCCTGCTGGATTCAACTTGATTTAAGTTACCTAGAGGTAAAGTTGGGGTACCGCTAGGGTAGAGAAGCCTGATGCCCTACAATTGGCATTTTCACCTGGTGAAACAGACAGAAGCTGTTTCTGAAAGGCAAAGGTACTTCACTGACAAAGAAGTACCAGCTTCCACAATAGGACCTATGGTTGCCCTTGAACATAGTTATCAAAGTTTGTGAAAACCGTGTCAGTTGGCATTCATCTACTAAGCTTTAGAAAGCATTAAACTTAACAGATAATTCAGAGGAAACCTGGCTCCTTTTCTCTAGACCAAAATTAGATGCCATCCTATGATTCACAACCATTTAAAAACCGATTTTCAAGCATATGGTTTATAAATAGCAGCCCTGGTATCAATATTTTGTATAGTCCTTGTTGGGCAAATCGATTAAATATATCCATCCCTCAGTTTCCTTAACTGTTTAAAAAATACTAAAGCAGAGGGTGGCTCAGTTGATTAAACATACTAAAGCAGTTAGATTGACTAAGCATGGAGGTCATTTCTCTTTCTCATAGTATATGATTGATTCAATGATTCTCTTGCAAAGGTGATTACACATTGGTCTTTTTTTTTTTTTTTAGACTATGTATGTTGAGTGGAAATTATGTTTGGCCTTGAAAAGCCAAATTTGGTAAAACTTCCTGCAGTGAAAGAATGTTCCACGCAGTTATTGAAATGTGGCTGGTGTGACTTCGAAAGTGGGTTTTTAATCTAATCTTAATTAATTTTGATTCAAATGAAAATAGCCCCCACTCTGGAATTAACTTCTTTCAACAAGATTTTTGCACAATAGTTGAAATTTAAGGATAAAATTTGTAAGCTGTGCCATGAATTTCAAAGCAGCAATCCCCCTCACTTTCTTTTCAGTCCCCTGCACACAGCTACTCAAGCTACGACTCTGGCAAAAATGAGAGTGTAGACCGAGGTGCCGAGGACCTGTCTCTAAACAGGGGTGACGAGGATGAAGATGACCACGATGACCACGACGATTCTGAGAAAGTTAACGAGACCGATGGCGTTGAGGCAGAGCGGCTGAAAGCTTTCAATGTGAGTCCCGCCACCATCCCCGTGTGGCTTACTTTTTACCAGTTCACTTTCATGTTGTTGCTTGTCGGTAAATGTGGATATTCTAGAGACGTGTTTGTTTAATTTACAGAAGGATTTAGAAAAATTCATGAAACTCTCTTTGCCAACCAGACACCAGAATTGCTGGGTTTTGTTTAGAATTTTAAAGCCAAATGTGAGCTGAAAAATGGATTTGTGTTGTGTGAGTATGCATGTTTACCTAGAGGTTGAGGGGGCCTCAGTTTATTCCTCGGAAGAGTATGCCTGTCAACAGTTATTCCTTTTGCCTTCCTGGCTTATCTAATTATGCATGACCAAAGAGTCCCTATTGTTATCAGAGATTAGTACACTGTGCATTGTAGCAGTGTAGCAGCCATATTGATCATTAATGCAGAATTTTATGGGGTGCTTAATTGTCACAGTCTACTGTTATTTCCTGATTTTTTTTCCTACACGATAGTCTATACTTTTCTGTCTGTCTGTCTGTCTGTCTGCCTCTCTCTCTTTCTCTCTAGTTTTTTTTTTTTTTTTTTTTTTTTTTTTTTTTTTTTTTTTNTTTTTTTTTTTTTTTTTTTTTTTTTTTTTATCCAGCCATTTAAAAAGCCTTTAAAAGGTGTTTGCTTAAAATCTCTGGCTTTCCATTGCAAAGTTCTCCAGTGCATAAAGCAGAAAAAAGTATTTTCCTATCGGTAATCATGACAGGAAGCTAGGAACAGCAGAGAGCAGTCCTCCAAACCCTTCTCCTCTGTCTCCCTCTTGCCAACAGATGTTTGTCAGGCTGTTTGTAGATGAAAACTTGGACCGAATGGTCCCAATCTCTAAGCAGCCCAAAGAAAAGATCCAGGCTATCATTGACTCATGCAGGCGACAATTCCCTGAGTATCAAGAGCGTGCCAGAAAACGTATACGTACTTACCTCAAGTCCTGCAGGCGGATGAAAAGAAGTGGTTTTGAGATGGTGAGTTTTGAATTAAAACACAGCCCTAGATTCCATCAAAATCCCACATGTAAACCATGACACTATTTTTTTTTTCATCTTAGTGTCTTTTTTATTTCTTCCATAATGTCAGGTCAAAGGGTTTTTTGTTTGCTTGTTTGTTTTTACCCCCTTCTCCTTTTCATCTTCCTGAAGTATTTATCCCCCTTTGTTATTCAATAAGGCATAGCTGGTGAGACCAGCTCACAGGCCCACATGGCATCATGTCACAGCAAATGAGGGTGATATGCATAAAAACCAATGAGAACCAGCATCTCATTCATGTTTGTTTTTCTGTCACTAACGAAGTGGATATAAGGTTAACCAAGGCTTGAAGCACCAGTTGTTGCTTTAGATGGCGTGTGAGAATGGCTTTCTCTGGAACCAAAGGAAAGGAAATGGATGGCTCCACCTAAATAATATTGTTTTCATACCAATGGTTGACAGATTGCAAGCTTGAAAGTTAAAGATCAGGGAATGAAAATCCTCACTTAAAAAATAAGGGTTTGTTGTACTCCATGTATTTGCGTGCTTGTGGATGATAACTTGAGCTTTTATATTCATATGGGCTTTCTAGATGGACGAGATTATGCTGACATTAGATTACTTATGGGTGGAGATCCGGTATCAATGTTTTTTGAACTTTATTTCACCTTTCTCGAATTGTTATACCCAGAAATAGTGTATACATTTACAAAGTATTTTTTTTATTTTTGTTTTTTGTGTACGTGAGCAAAAATGTATTAATTTTCTGAATCAGTTTATTTCCCTTTCTTGGGTCCATCAAAGCCAAGACTGTTAGTACTTGTGACCAGTGCCTGTAATGTGTTAGGTGTGAAGGGGTAATATTAGTGAAGCTAGGAAAGATTTCAGAGTATGTCCTATAGGAGAAATAGGTTTTTATATCTAAATGATATGACCAAAGCAGTCAGTTCACTATCTACTATGAATTCTTCACTGGCTTGTAAAAATACCTTCAACATTTTTAAAAATAGAATGACTCTTATTGAGAGTTATGTGCCTAGATGGTTTCAAGCACAAGGTTCAGTCCCCCCGAGCGCCTGGTTTGGAGTTCTGGATCCACCATTTTGTGGCTGTGTGACCCAGCAAGTTACTTCAGCTACCTGTACTTCGATACCTCCTCTGGAGATAATAACTCCTGATTTGTAAGGTCATGAGGATTACCTAAATTGCCAGTTGCAAGCCATTTCTGACAGATAGTAACCACTCAGTAAATCTTAAATCCGAAAATATTTGCAAATATTATTTAATCTATCATTTGATAAAAGCTCCCCATAATGTTTGTGTTAAACAATCACACAATACTCCATTTAAGTATTTGCTTACTTCTTGGAATAATAACCATACTGAAGTCAGAGATTGTGGTGCATATGTCATTTTAAGGGGCATCTGGGTGTCTCAGTTGGTTAAGCATCTGACTTCAGCTCAGGTCATGATCTTGCGGTGCATGGGTTGAGTTCTGTGTCAGGCTCTGTGATGACAGCTCGGAGCCTGGAGCCTGCTTCGGATTCTATGTCTCCCTATCTCTCTGGCCCTCCTCGACTCGTGCGCTCGTTCTCTCTCTCTCTCTCTCCCTCTCTCTCTCTCAAAAATAAATAAACATTAAATTTTTTTTAATAAAAATGGCATTGCTATGCCTGATCAAACTAAATTTGACAGTAGAGGTGGTGGTATGGTATGAGAGGAGAGTTTGCTTGAAGAAAATAAAGGTATTTCTCCCATTATTGAATATTTAAAAATTATTATTACTTACAACAGGAGAGAGATGAAAGGGTATCTAAAAATCTAAAAAGCCTAGAGTCCTGGCATTGACATTTGGTTCAGGACCACTTAGCAGCTGTTGTAAAATAGCAGTGGTCTCATTCAGAGCTCAATATACAATGTATACTCTTCTTTTTCAGTAAAAATAAAGATGATATCATACATTGAGATTTTTATTTTACCAGCATCTGGCATTACTATTTTTCCTAATCTTGTCATATTTTTAGATATTATATGGAAAAATTTATCTTATTTCCATGAACTATTCTTTAAGAGAAAAAAAATCATTATTCTGTAAAATCCTTAATTTCTCTAAGGCATATAAGATACTTCCACAGGTTTTTCTATTGATTGTATTTATTTACTTTAATATGGATATCTATTTGTTGTAAACCCTGTGCTCTGCTTAGAGAACAACAAAAGTTGACTAATACAAAGCCAAGTAGTTTTACAAACTAATCCTAAAGAAATATGCTGTAAGAAATGCAATTTTATTTAATTTTATTTTTTATATTTCATTTTTATTCATTCATTTTGTTCACTTATTCAACAATGTCCATAACATTATACAAAATATTAAGTAGAAATATTAGAGATTTCTGACCAGTTAGGAAAATATAACATGTTCCCTGATCACTATGATTCATTGAGGTGACAAGTTGTAAGAAATGAAATATTTAAGTAACAAACTCGAATATAATTAAATGATAAATGAAGAACATGAATGAAAATTTATATTGTAGGTTCTTTTCATTTCTTTTTTTATTTCTTTTGAGAGACAGAAAGCATGTGTGAATGTACACGTGCATGAGCAGGGGAGGAGCAGAGGGACAGGAAGAGAGAGAGACTCTTAAGCAGGCTCAGTGCCCAGTGCAGAGCCTGATGCAGGGCTCAATCTTACAACCATGAGATCATGACCCCAGCGGAGATGAAAGTTGGGCGCCTAACTGACTGAGCCACCCAGATGCCCCAGTTTATTTCTTTATACATTTACTCAGTAACGTACTACTGAAAATAACAAATCTACCATCTAGTTGATACTTGGAATCTTGATTTTTTTTCTTTCTTATGTATCACTTTATTGGCATGGGACATGGGGAAGTCATATGTCATTTTGAATCCTTATCCTTATCTAGAACAGATAGGAAAATGTATGACTATGGCATATAGTAATTACAACTAAATATTATATGTGAGTATTTTTTGTCCTCACTTTTTAAATTTGATATAAGATAATATGCAAAGTTTTTGTTGTTGAAACATCATTAAATAAAAGAATCTTTCTTCTAATGTGTTTTGTGTAAGGAGATATGAAAGAAAGTCTCAATTTCAGTATGTAGTTATTTTTACATGCAACTTATTCTGTAGTATTTAACAGGTCAACAAAATAACAAAGAATTTTTAAACATATCATTAAACGAAATTATTAAGTATAGGATTATTTGGTAGGGGATTCCATGTTATAAAATGAAAGTGGCATTCAAAAACTTAGCTCTTCAGTTATTTGGGACATCTAAGCCATAAGATGCCTTAAGTAGAGTGAAACAGAAAATATTGAATTGCATGTTCTGTGTTGACTGTAAGAAATTCAAAGAGGGGCGCCTAGGTGGCTCAGTCAGTTGAGCATCTGACTTCCACTCAGGTCGTGATCCCATAGTTTGTGGGTTCGAGCTCCGCGTCAGGCTTGTGCTGACAGCCAGCTCAGAGCCTGGAGCCTGTTTCAGATTCTGTATCTCCCTCTCTCTCTGACCCTCCCCTGCTCACGCTGTCTGTCTCTCTCAGAAATAATTTTTTTAAAAATCATTTAAATAAAAAAATTTCAAAGAAATAATCCCATAGAAATGATTTATCACAACACCTATTAGTCTGTACTTGGAAATGTTGGCATTCACTTTTATTAATTTCCTGCTGTCATTAATACAAAATCTATGTATAGTTAATTATTCTACACTATCACATAAGAATTTAGATGCTTCCATAAATACTTTCAATTGACTTCACTGAATGCATACAAATATTAGGATATGTGTTTATGATTTTTTTATTTCACTAGAATTATCAAGACCCCACAGATCTTGATTACTTAAGCAGCTAAAATTTCGTGCCACCACCAAAAACCAAGAGCAGTTTACACACTGTATGTTAGCCAATTTGGCAATAAATTATATTTAAAAAAAAAAAAAAGAAAGAAAACAAGCCACTTAAAAAATCAATGGACATGAAGACACTTGAGTTCAAGTCCAAATCCTTGCTACCCTTCTGTGTCTCTGACCATACCCCCTGCCCCTACACACACCTCATTTTGTTGTTTAATAGAGGTGGCTCCCACCAGGAAAATGAGATCATGAAAGCAACTGTTTTCTTTCTGAATTCTTTAAGAATTCTGCTTAATTCTAAGCTACCCCCACACACTCACACAAATGAAATTGTGGGTGTTCACAAAACTCGATTTGATTTTTATCATTGCTATTTCTGTTCATAATAATAATAGTAATGCTACAAAAATATTTTAAAGACTCCAAGTCTTTCAGCAGTTAGATTTGGCATGTTTACTACCTAAAATTGTACCTATTTTACAATTGAAGGCAGTAATTTGGAAAATGCTATTACTCTGTAAACCCAAACTCTTCATAATAATAAAACAATTATGAGAGTTAAAAAAAAATTTCATGCTATCACTCCCAATAGTCTCTGTAATGGGTGAAGTACAGTAAGTATATTATGATTCTTTTCTATGCATTTTCACCACCTCACTCTTACCAATCATCTCAAATCATAAAATCCTCAGTGTTGAATATAAAATGGCATGTTTTATGAAAAATAAATCTCATAAGTTTCATCTAGAGTATTGTTTTAGTTTTCATTAGGTTTTTAGAATTCAATGAGTTAAGCAGTCATGAAATTAATCCTTTAACAAATATATCAAATAACTACTGATTCATTTGTGTAGCTTAGACTCTCAAATTACTTTAGCTACTTTTCTAAAAAAAAAATATGCTGATTTTTCTAGAAAAATATCTATTTCTCCAAGGTGTCCTGATCTTAAATTCAAGAGCACCTAAGACAGATAAATTCATAAAAGCAAAACTTTATGAACAAGGTAGGGTTGGTCCATTCCTTACTATAATCTGAGTTACATGATGTGATTTATCTTTTTGTTTTCTGAGCCTGTATTGTTAGAGACTTTTTCACCATGCTGC